TGAATCAGTTAATCAATACTTTTTCGATCCCAATACGCGTTTTTCTGCACAATTTATTGTGTATTCTTCATAAATTAGTCGGATAGGGAATAAACTAGAAATTTGTTGAATATTGATGGCTGACACGATTTCCTCGAATACTTGAAATACTTAAACAATCCAAAATTTCTCGTACTTAATCATCGCCTACTACACCAGTTTTGATACCCCCTTCAGTTGATGACATCACCAATAGAGTCAGTGAGTTTCACTACCATTTGATTAAGATCCCCATGCCAATGAGACTTTAGATATTTAGTTCAGGCGTTATGAAGACTACTTCAAAGTGGATTTGTTGGCTAGGGTGATACTTAGAAGGTACGTCTCCTACTTTGAAAGCTTGGTCCACCTGAGCTAGATCAATACTGCAACATAAGTTTGCCGTAGAACTCACATGACCACACTTTACATGCCATATTCCAGACAATGAATCACACGTCTGCTGAATATCATCGACTGGACAACCTGCAGCGTGATACGAGTTCAGCTCAATCCGAACACCAGGGTGGCTCTGAAGTACTTACTGTTCTCCAGACATCTCATTTCTCCGCATCACCCTATCTGACCAGACACACCATGGCCTTATATCTTTTAGTCATCGACCAAGTAACTTACGTGACACCAAGCGACCGTCGAACAAAACACCCCCATCGCCTTGCTAGCATAGTGTTGCCCACATTTCATCAAATCTTGTCCACCTAAACAACATCGATGCTAGGAGGGATTGAAATGCTTGGTGTCATAAGGATAGACTTTCCCGCCAACATACACAACGACGTGTGCAAAGGTCATCCTGCAGACATTACCGCAGATCTCATTCTCGAACGATATATAAAACTTTTGGCTTGATAGCTGAATTTCATGTTCATGCACCTACCTGCCGAAACAACATCGAGAAGACAAGGTGAAACTTCCTCTTCACCCGTCAGATATATTTGAGGAAAAGACAGTGAGGTCTAATCTGACCCCAAATAAGATTCTTTCGAAGAGGGACGTGATATCAGGACAAAGAGAAAAGACTAGTCTGGAGAGAAACCAATCAAAATGTACTTTATGTTATCACTTCTACAATTAGACAGACAGATAGACGGTGGATCAGTTATTCAATAGTCTTTCTAACCCCAATACACTTTTCTATACGTCCGTCATGTCTTCTCTTCTGGTTAGTCAGGTCGGTATTCATCTAGGAATTTGTTGTTGTTGGCTGACACTTGATATCCGTTCATCGTTAGTGGCTACAGCGTCATTTCAGTTACCAAACCATAACACATAGGTATCTCATCGTTTAAATGAACCAAAATGATCTGCGATGTATTCGATGTTCTGTAGAGCACTCTGATGATATTAGATTTGTTGAAGACTCTCGTAATTTCATGCAATGTTGTTGAGGTGCATGATTTAGGAATAGTTCTATGATCTAACTTGACTCCATTTTCTAGTTTGCTAATGAATTCCACCTCATAGTTATTCATTTCAAGTATCTTGTTGTCATATTATTATAGCTTAACTTTTACATTTTCATTGATTATTAGAGTGTGTGCTCTCCTTAAATGACCACACGTTACAACAAAAACTTCCACATTGATTGGATGTGTTTTTCGAATACGTCGCTTTCTTGAAAATGGTTTTACCAAAATGTTCATTTTCTTGCCCGTTTAATAAGACAATCAAGGAAATGGCAGTTCCCCAGTACCCATTTCTTCTTCTCAGCTGGTACTGGGAGGTCAACAGTTCAACGAAAACAAACAAGTTGACAGAAGAGGCGGCCAAAGAGGACGGGACTTCAAGCGAATGTAATGAAGACGGAGGTGATTAAGATACCCAACCAGAAACAGCTTCAACAACAAGCTCCAATCACCATGAACAGAAGAAACCTTAAGAAGGTAGTCTCTTCCACCTACCTGCCTAGGCACCATCGTTTCAACTACACGCGGCACAGGCACAGATGAGGATGTCGCAACCAGGATCGGAAAGCAAGACAGAATTTAATTAATTTGGAATCAGTGTGGAGATCTACTGCATTCTACTCAGCATAAAGAACAAGATGCGGGTTTTCAACACCAGTTCAGTCAAGTCAGTGCTGCTATATGGGTCAGAAACTTAGCGCGTCATGAATTGCACTTCCAACAAACTGCAGATATTCACCGACAACTGCGCCTACACTCACTGGATGCTGAAGATCAGATTAGATGGCCAGAATAATAAGCGTAAGCAAGAAGGAACTCTGGCTGCCCAGAAACGAAGTAACAAAGCAACAGGCCATCGGCCAACAACTGTGCAGAATAAGAGAGTGGAGATGGGTTGGGCATGCTCTGGGAAAATCATTCGGTGACATCATGCGTCAGGCCAGGATGTTGAGTGGAATGTAGAGGGGAAATGATGAGTTTGGCGTCTGAAGTGAGGGTAACATGGTGGAGATCATGTGAGGAAGAAATAAAAGCATGTAGGGAGTCGGGGCACCAGGTTCAAAAGACTGTAGAGAAGAGAGGGAAATGGAGACGTGTTACTGAAGCCCTATTTTCCACTAGGAATGAAAGGGAAAATTAATAATAATAATGTATTCCTGGTACAAAGTAAGCTTTGAAAACTATGAATGTATCCTCAACATATCTCAACTGAATATCATTCATAGCTTACCATGATTTCATCTCCTTCAGTTAGTAAGTGAAAAGATTTTGAATTTAAAATCAAGTGAGTCGTTTATTGCGTAAACTCAGTACTTTAATTGGGATTTAAGTAATGAAACCAGATATCTAGAGAAGTTATATGTTGGTGCATTGATCTCAGTGGAATGGAAGTATTGTGAATGTTGGACAGACCATAGAACCTTCAACACGTATGTATGACTTAGGTTTGAGCATGGAAACAAATTAAACTACTGACTTTATGTTTCAATTTTTGAAGTAGTCGATTTCACCTTGTGCTGTTCGGCGGAAGTTTTCATTTCATCCAGTAAATTGTGTAGTTCCTTGAACAACTATTCTCTTTCCTCAGGCTTTACAGGGTTTACAATTCTTGTCCACTGACGTCAGACGGTGAATTTCATTGAATTTCAAGAATATGTGGAATTTTCTGACATACAATCTTCACTTCACCGTCAGGCAGGAAAATCTAAACACGATTCGAAAATTAATGTATTGTTATTTGTCCCTTGGGTTCCTAGTAGAACATAGGGCTTCATTATCACGTCTCCACTACACTCTCTTCTCTGCAATCTTTTCAACCTGGCTCCACAACAGCCCACAATCTCTCATTTCTTCCTCACACGATCTCCTCCATGTCACCCTCAGCTGAGACGCCCATCTCACCGTTTCCCATCTGAGTTTGACTAGAGTGCATGGCCAGTGATATCTCCAAATGGTCTTCTCAGTGTAAGCTCAATCCATCTTCATTTCCTTCTGTATATTTATCGAGCAACAAGCTGTTGGTTGGTTCATTGAAAGCCAGCCAGCAGCCAGAGTTCTTCCTTGCTTATTCCTTCTGGCTATCCATCTGAGCTTCAATAACGGGAGTAGGAAGTTGTTGATGAGTGTCTGTAGTTTGTTGGAAAAGCTTTTCTTAACGCGCCAGGTCTCTGAACCATATAGAAGCACTGAATTGACTGGATTGGTGTTGTAAATCCGGATGTTGTTCACGCTATATGCTGAGTGCAGAACATCTCCACACTGCTTCGATAATTCTTGCTATTTCATGTGTCAATAATTAGCTTTCGACTGATGTGGAAAGTGACACCTTTCTGGAATAATGAAATCTTACCTGACATTTTGTTCACTGCGTTAAGAGTTTCCGTACCATCCTTTAGTGTTTGTTCTATAGTTCTCTGATCTGGTAATAAGGAAAACTGTCTGGATTCACCTTCTTCCAGCCACACTGTGAATATCTGATTCCCATTCTCAGAACAGTTTACGAATAGTTTCATGGGAGTCAGATATAATCTACTTTGACAAACATTCATCAATATTTCTAATCCGTACTGGAAAAAATTCAAGCTTTATGGTGCTAATATGTATCCTTTCTTCTTGAATAGGTCGAAATGTAGGTCCACTATTCCACTGCTAGCCATTCACTACACAGCAACTTGTAGGGATTGATGTCACGTAAAGGACCAGTATTTGATTCATTCAACTACTTCATCGAAGGACATTTTCACCGACGTCTCACTTCTCACAATTCACCATCAATCAACTCAACTCGGAACCTTCAACTTTCATAATAATCATACGAACATTGAGCCAATCCATCGGTGTGCAATCTCGTGTGCGATATAATCATATCATTGACAAACAACCAAACGAGTGAAGTCAGTCAAAATACAAAACAGATTAAATGCAAGCCTATGAGGTTGTAGTGCACCTTCCTGGCACCAAAATATAACTAGGGCTAAAATAAATAGTTTAGATTAAATTAACTAAATAAATCTCTAGCTTGCCTCCGGATGCTTAGGGTGTTTTAAGTTTTGTTTTAACGAGCATGCATCCGAGCAGGCTTGGACGCCATTTTTGCGCTCCATTGTGCTGATTACCACGCACGTACTCTGAGTCCCTAGTTCAGCCTTATAAGCCAGATAAGTTGATTAAACTTTTCCCTCATTCATTATTATTACATTTACCTTAAATACATAGCTCCTTTAAATACATTGCGTATCAGTTCTTTTGATTTGTGTTTTGTTATCAGTACTTACACGTTAGGTAAAGTACTGGTTAAGCAGGTACTAGAGCACATCAAATTAAGTAGGGTTGATCAAACGTTACGGAATTGTAACACGCATCCCTACAAAATTGGTGAGCCCGAGTATCACTTCTTACTTTGTCTAGTACCTTTGTTCTCTTGCGTTGATTTGTCTGGCCTATTTTTGTTTTTGGCACGGTCTAGCTTTTTTTATATTATTGCACTCCTCATTGGTTATTTTTGCATTGTAATTTTTTTATTATCACTATCGTGCCTCGTTAATTCCCTGATCAATGGCGGATAACGACTCGACTGCGCAGATGGCCGTAACCCTCCAGCTTCCCACCTTCTGGGCCCACAGACCATCTGCATGGTTCTCCCATGTGGAAGCTCAGTTTGCCTTGAGACACATTCAATCACAAGAAACTAAGTCCAACTTAGTCATCGTCAGCTTACCGGAAAATGTGATCGAAGACGTCTCAGATGTGCTAGATGACCCAGCACCGAATCTTTACGATCGCCTCAAAACCGCCCTCATCAAACGTGTTGCACTTACTGACCAGCAGAAAGTGCAAGAACTTTTCAGGGATGTGCATCTGGGTGATCGCAAGCCGACGCAACTGCTTCGTCAGATGAAGCAGCTGATTGCTGACTTCAACATTGATGAAGCATTTCTCAAGCAACTGTGGTTACAGAGGTTACCACAGTCGGTTCAAGGGATCCTCGCACCCTTCCATAAGTGTCCCTTAATAGAGCTGGCGGAAGCGGCTGACAGAGCTGTGGATGCTACGAAACCCAACACTAGTATCTCAGCTGCACTGTCTACTGCCACGGATTCGTTCAAAAACCCACATCCTCCTTCGGCTGGTGAGCCAACAAGTTTCGATGTTATAACTCACATCTCAAAATTGTATGAGAGTTGTGCAGCATCAGGAACGAAATGCGGTCTGGTAGTTCTTACAAGGGTCGCACGTCTCGCTCGCGCAACAGGTCTGCCTCCCGTACCGGTAGCAGACGTTCCAAATCGCGACAATCCCAACCCAGGTTGTGCTGGTACCATAAACGTTATGGTGCCAATGCCAAAAGGTGCACTCGACCTTGCACCTTCGAGGCTAACCAGGCGGGAAACGTGTGAGCCAGCACGTGACGGCGACTAACGTCGCTGGCGAGCCACTTCCATGTCGCCTCTTCTTCGTCACTGATCGACATTCTGGGATACGCTTCCTAGTTGACACTGGGGCAGAAGCTAGCGTCATCCCACCTACGAAGGAAGAGCGTCTGCGGCCAATGTCTCTGCAACTTCGTGCCGCCAACGGTTCGCCCATCACAACCTATGGTCGGAGATTCCTCGATCTCAACCTTGGATTGCGTCGTCCCTTTCGTTGGGTTTTCATAGTGGCAGATGTGACCACCGGCATTATTGGTATGGATCTCTTGCAGCACTATCAGCTGCTGGTAGATGCTGGCAAGCATAAGTTGATAGATTCTACCACAACACTCTCTGTTTCCGGTATAGTCACAAAGACGCCGCCCCTCAGTCCCGTGTACTGCACGACGGACGCTTCTAGTCCCTACGCGTCTATCATTCAGTCCTTTCCGGATGTCTTTAAGCCAAGTCGTTGTGTCCCTTGTGTGACTTCGAACGTTTCTCATCACATAACGACGACTGGCCCGCCAGTGTTTGCGAAACCACGGCGATTATCCCCGGAGAAACTGCGTGCTGTAAAAGCCGAGTTCGAACACATGCTTGAAATGGGAATAATCAGACCATCCAACAGTCCATGGTCTTCACCCTTGCATGTGGTACCCAAGAACAATGGCATGGACTGGAGGCCTTGTGGTGACTACCGAAGGCTCAACGCTAAAACGATTCCAGATCGTTACCCAGTCCCTCACATTCACGACTTGACTGCATCTTTAAAAGGCTCGGTTATCTTCAGTAAGCTTGACTTGACGCGTGCATATCATCAGATCCCGGTTCATCCTGATGATGTTCCCAAGACAGCCGTCATTACACCGTTTGGTCTTTTTGAGTTCCTCCGTATGCCTTTTGGTCTTCGCAATGCAGCACAAACCTTCCAACGTTTTATTCACGATGTTTTACGTGGACTCGATTTCGCCTATGCCTACCTAGACGATATACTAATCGCTAGTCCTGACGAAGACACTCATTTTAACCACTTGAAACAGGTTTTCGCCAGACTGTCAGAGCATTCGATGACAGTCAACCTGGCCAAATGCCAATTGGCGTTCGTTCACTAAAATTTTTGGGACACGTTATCGACGAGCAAGGCATTCGCCCACTACCTGAAAAGGTACAGGCGATCCAAGACTTCCCAGTCCCAGCGTCACTTAAAGCTCTGCGTGTGTTTCTGGGTATGGTGAGCTATTATCGTCGCTTCATTCCCCAATGTGCACACATTTTGACTGCACTGACCGACCTGCTGAAAAGTAAATGTAAAACTTTCAGCTTGACTCCTGAGGCACTAGAAGCATTTCGCAAGATCAAAACCGCAATAGCAGACGCCACGATGCTGGTGCATCAAGACGTAAACCTACCTCTTAGCATTGCGGTTGACGCCTCTAACACGGCCATTGGAGCTGTGTTGCAACAACTTTCGGATCACACTTGGATCCCAGTTGCATTCTTCTCCCGGAAGTTATCCACCTGCGAAATGCGGTACAGCACTTTCGGCAGGGAACTGCTCGCCATATATGCCTCAGTGAAACATTTTCGTCATTTTGTGGAAGGTCGTGACTTCATCATCTTTACCGACCATAAACCTCTGACGTATGCCTTACACACCACTACTGACAGATATTCACCGCGTGAATTACGTCACCTAGATTATATTTCGCAATTCACGTCGGACATCCGTCATATTTCTGGTGTGAATAACCCTGTCGCGGACGCACTGTCTCGCGTTTGCACCACTACTTTGCCTCGAGCAGTCGACTTACGGAAGATTGCCGAACTTCAGGATTCAGACGAGGAGATTGAAAAACTTCAACACTCATCCTCTCTGAAGATACAGCGTTTACCGCTCCTGAACAGTGAAGTGTCAATATTGTGCGACACCTCCACAGGCACACCCAGACCGGTTGTTCCTTTACCCTTGCGTAAGCATGTTTTTGATGCTTTGCACAATCTTTCACATCCTGGCATCCGCGCCACTGACAAGCTCATATCTGCTAGGTTTGTTTGGCCTGGTATTAACCGTGATGTTCGAAACTGGACACGGTCATGTATTCAGTGCCAACGTTCCAAGGTGAATCGTCACAACATCCCACCACTTGGAACTTTCGCCAAACCGGACTCACGATTCGCTCATGTCCACTTAGACATTGTCGGCCCACTTCCACCCTCCGATGGATATAGTTACCTACTGACATGTGTCGATAGGTTTACTCGCTGGCCGTTAGCCATCCCATTGTCTAACATTACTGCCGAAACAGTAAGTCGGGTTTCGTCGAAGGATGGGTTTCACAGTTTGGATGCCCTTCCACCGTGACAACCGACAGAGGCCAACAGTTCGAATCCGCTACCTTCCAGAAGCTGATGAATCTGTTGGGATGCAAACGCATCCGCACTACCGCATATCATCCAGCTTCCAATGGTTTGGTGGAGCGATTCCACCGACACCTTAAGAGCGCACTAATGGCAGTCGACAATATGAAATGGACTGAGTCTCTGCCGTTGGTTCTTCTCAGCATCCGTTCTACACTCAAGACTGATATACAGTGTACACCTGCTGAGTTAGTTTACGGTAGTAACTTACGTTTGCCGGGTGAGATGGTCGCTTCAGACTGTAGTGACCCAACTCCTACCGATATCCATGGCTATGCTCAAACTCTTAAGTTACACATGCGTCGCCTCCAACCCTCATCCACACGGATACAGTGTAGACGGGTGCAGCTGGATAAAAGACTCCAAGATTGCACTCACGTCTTTGTGCGTTGTGACGGTGTACGTAAACCCTTACAGCCACCATACGACGGACCCTTCAAGGTTCTCAGTAGGAAAGAAAAGTTTTTCGTCATTGACAGATCTGGACGGCAGGATTCTATAAGTGTCGATCGTTTGAAGGCAGCTTATATAGAGGACGACCCACCTTCCTCTACACCGACACAACTAGAAAAACCCTTGCCGCCAGACTCCCAAACAGACTCGTTTAGTCGCGCGTACCCTGAACCTTCTAAAAGAGCCACGTCTAGTAACACTGATCCAGTACCCTCTACACGTGCTGGGAGGCGTGTACATTGGCCCAAGCGATACGCCGATTTCGTTAATTAGCCCCAGAGCAACTTCACACTTGGTGAATTCGGAGTTTCAACTACTTTGTCGTGGCATACACTTTCAATGCGTTTTCATATCTAAAGTTTTCAAAAGTCTTGTTTACTACTTTGCAAACAGTTTTTTTTAAAAAAGAAAAACCAAAAATACAATTTAAATTCCGAAAACTTTTTTTGGTTGGTTATTATTTTTTTTCTGTACTACTCCCACTTCGAATTGTTTGGTTTTCCTTTTCTTAGCACTCTAATGTCCCATTTCTTTCTTCTTGCAGAACCTAGAAAATGCGTTGAAAATTGGATACAATTGGCCGCTGACGATGCTACTTGGATCGTTCTTCGGTTCTCTTTGTACCAATTTCCCCCTGTACACCCCCCGGTAGATTAAGAAGCAATAGGGAAAAGTAGACGGAGGCTTTGGGTCACCTTCCACCACTGCGAGAAGGGTTGCGTCTAGACGCAAAGTTATCTTACCTCGTAGGTGTGCATAGTTGCACTAGCTTCGGAGACCCACACGTCACCTACTCCATCACCAATATGGAAAGGTGTTGCGTGTCCGCCTCGCAGTCGCCTCCTAGGATCGAAGGTTGCCGGTATCCCAACAACCTTCTAGGAGGGGGATAACCTGTAGTGCACCTTCCTGGCACCAAAATATAACTAGGGCTAAAATAAATAGTTTAAATTAAATTAACTAAATAAATCTCTAGCTTGCCTCCGGATGCTTAGGGTGTTTTAAGTTTTGTTTTAACGAGCATGCATCCGAGCAGGCTTGGACGCCATTTTGCGCTCCATTGTGCTGATCACCACGCACGTACTCCGAGTCCCTAGTTCAGCCTTACAAGCCAGATAAGTTGATTAAACTTTTCCCTCATTCATTATTATTACATTTACCTTAAATACATAGCTCCTTTAAATACATTGCGTATCAGTTCTTTTGATTTGTGTTTTGTTATCAGTACTTACACGTTAGGTAAAGTACTGGTTAAGCAGGTACTAGAGCACATCAAATTAAGTAGGGTTGATCAAACGTTACGGAATTGTAACACGCACCCCTACAAGGTGATGCACAGAAACTTCAAATCACAGACAAACACAAAAACTGAAAGCAAACTTATTCCTCAATGGAATCGGGGAGACGAAATAACACCGATTGGTGAAAGGCTTCGAAAAGCCAATTGCCATTGTGTCTCCTCTCTCTCTCGGTGAAAGCAAAAGTAAACATGGGGACACGAAATGTCTACACAATGTTTGAAGCTGGTTACCAGGGCT